AATGATGGCTGCTTGAACTTTACTGAGGAAAATGATGAAGTTTTGGTTGCTGGATTTGGTTGAAAAGGTCATGCTGTTGGTGATATTCCTGGAGTCCAATTCAAGGTTGTAAAAATTGCTAATGTTTCTCTTCTGGCCTTGTACAAAGGCAAGAAAGAAAGACCAAGATCATAAAAACTGTATGATGTCTGTTACAGTAAAAAATTTTCATGTAAAAAAAAAAAGATCTTTTACAGCCCTAAATCTGTGATTCTCACCCCCTACTCCCTACCCCCTAGCCCCCAAGACTCAACTATGGGTCTCAACCACCACGGGTTAATATTTTCATACATATGTAAAGGTGAGGCTCCACTGATTACCTCATTCAACTTAAGAGTAATTATCTTTGTTAGGGAAGAATATTTTTCAGTTGACTCAAATGATCAGAAGCAATGCCTCCTTGAATCAGGTCTATGAATGCTTAAGGCCTCTCCAAGTCGTTTCTATTATACATCCTCGTATGCTGATAAGGGCCAGGCCCCAGGTACCCATAGTAGACTGAGTTCCTACAGAGCAGGGATAGTTTTCTGCTATTCTTTGTATACCAGCACTTAGTTCAGTGCCTGGCACATTTTGGATGCTTAATAAATGCTTGCTGACTTGATTTGACCTAGTTTATAAGTTTACCATTAATGCTCTAGGGGAGTAAAAAGTAGAGAATGGGGTATATACACTTAATGTGTGTCCTGTGCTTTTGTCCTAACTTGAATTTTACCTATTTCTTGGCAACCTAGTAATCCAGTAATTTTTCACAGATGATGTTGATACACATCACTAAATGGTTAATAACACTATAACACACATTTACTTCAGTAGGATTACATCAGACCTAGTAATTCCTCCTCTGGAACATGAACTCCTTGAGGGGGGAATGGTTCATTTTTGTCTTCATAACTCCAGATTGGCCTTGCACATGGGTGCTTAATAAATGTTGAATGGATTTTTTTAAAGAGTATTTTTTTTTTAACATTTATTCCCCTACCCATTGAGAAGGCAAGCAATATAAGTAATAAAGTATCAACCACTATACATGTGAAGTTATGGAGAACATTTCCACATTAGCCATGTTGTTAAAAAAAAAAAAGGAAAAAAAATAAAATGAAAAAACATATGCTTCCATCGGCAGTCAGAGTTGATCAGTTCTTTCTGTGGAGGTGGATAGCATTTTTCATCACGGGTCCTTTGGAATTGTCTTGGATCACTGTTTTGATCAGATAGCTAAGTCTTCCACAGCTGATCATCATTAACTGTGTACAGTGTTCTCCTGGTTCTGCTCACCTCACTCTGCATCAATTCATGTCAGTCTTCTGAGGTTTTTCTAAAACCACCTGCTAGTCATTTCTTATAGCATAATAGTTGAATAGATTTTCCTAAAGCAGAAGTTTGATCAAGTCACCCTCTACTCTGAAAAGTGAGCTTCAGTGGCTCCCTATTAACCACAGGATCAAATAAGTCTGACATTTAAAGTTCTTCTCTTTCTTATATTTCCAGCCTTCTTATACCTTATGCCCTTCACCTTACACAGGCACCTGGTGGCACAGTTCAAGTCTTGCCTCAGACATTTACTAGCTGTTCAACCCTGGGCAAGTCACATAATCTTTGCTTGCCTCAGTTTCCCCCACTATAAAATGGGGATAATGACACCACCTACTTCAGAGGGCTGTTGTGAGATTAAGGCCAGGCACATAGCAGGTATAGCAGGAATAAATGCTTGTTCTTTTCTGTCACACTGCTCCATAGTCCAGAGAGGATGCTGTTCTTTTTATGTGACTTGACATCTACTGTTACTGTGCCTTTGTACTAACTGTTCCCTATGCCTGGAATGCAGTTTCCCCTTATGTCCACCACTTGAGTCCTTTGCCTTCCCTCAAGTCTTGGCTTAAGTCCCACCTTCCGTAGGCCAGCCCCAGTTCCTTCAGCTGCTAATGTCTTCTCCTATCAGATTACCTTCTGTGTGTTCTGTATATCTTTGGTGTATATCTAGTTATTTTCATTTTGTCTTTGCCATTAGAACGTGCCCTCCTTGAGGGCAGGGGATTGCTTCTGTCCCCCCCTATCTCTAGTCAGTGTTATTTGGAGAAGGGTCTGACTTCTTGCAGATTATCTGCTTTGGAATGTAGCTGCTGAAAAGCTGAAATAGAATGCAGTCTAAGCCTTTCTAGGCCACTGACACCACCACACAATGGAAGGTAATTAATAAAGCTGTTTTCACTGTTCATGTGGAAGGAATCTTAAGTAGATTCTCCACATATTTTTTAGATATCTAACCTCCCAAAACAATCTGAGTGCTATAATTGGGGTCCAATGTATTTTTTTTTTCCCAGTTTAAAACTCATAATTTACCCATGTGTCTTCTCTGCAGTGTGTGGCCAAGTTAAGGTTTCCTATCCTATTCAGTCTATTCAAGGAATATATATTGAGCACCTACCATGATATATAGTTACTACTGTATCTATGGTTCACATGTATATGAATTTGGAGTCAGACGACTTGGGTGAGACTGAGCAAAGACACAAAGGCAGGAGAGACAAAGTGCTGGGTTGGAAAACAGCCAAGTGGGCCAGCTTGGCTGAAATGTCAATGAGGCTGGAACCAAACTGTGAAGGGCTTTAAATCCAGTATGGAGCATAAAAACAATGCATAACTAGAAGGGGGGATCTAAACAGCAGGTACTCCTTCATAACTATTGCATGGACAGATTTTGCCCAGTGTCTAGCTGTATGCTACAGGAGGCTTAATGTTTTTGAGTTGAGTGGAATGAGTGGCATACGCTGCATGGGATTTAACAGGGCAATTTATCTTCCTTTATAAAAAACTATAGTGAAAGAGATCATTCTGTTGGCTGAGGTTAGGGATGCAGTTCATGGATCAGACTGGAGTGGGTCAGGAAGCTTAGAGGATGTTAGTTTAACGTCCTCATTTTGTTGTTCAGTTGTGTCTAACTCCTCCTGATTCTGTGATCTGATGTCCAGTTTTTTTTCTCCCCAAGGATTACTGGAGTGGTTTGCCATTTCTTTTTTCCAGTGGATTAAGGTAAATAATGTTAAGTGACTTGTTTAGGGTCACACTGCTGGTGTCTGAGGCCACATTTGAACTCAGGTCTTCCTGACTCCAGGCCCAGCATTGTATCCACCGAGCCCTAGCTGCCCCATTTTACAGATGAGAAAATTGAAGCCCAGAAAGATGAGTGACTTGTGGTAGAGCACCAGTTTTAAACCCAACCCCATGACTCCATAACCATTTGCTCCTTCCCAAACAAAGACCCTCAATCATTATCAGCCATGAGAACCATGAAAAGAAAGGTGAAGCTCTCCTCTGCTCCTCAAGGAATTAGATTTCTAATGCATCCTTAATCAGTCAGTAAGGATTATTAAGTGTCTACTGTGTACCAGGCAGAGTGCTAAGTGTGGAGGATACCCAATGAGGCAAAAGGCAGTTTCTGCCCTTAAGAAGTTTAGCAGATCTTTTCATGCAACTTTTGAGGCCTTCTACGGTAACATCAAAGAAGGCTGGCTTTTCAAGGTACATGACTCTGAGCTTGAAATAAACACACTGCCCAGACAGAGTAGGTGGTGCAAAGTGAGTCCTAAGTCTTACCCAGCCGAGCTCCTCTAGAACAATAGAACGTCAAAACTGGCCGTCATTGAGCACGAACCCCTTCCAAGGTGAGGAACACAGACCTTGGCGGCCCAAATGGCCATCGATTTGCCTAAGGTCAAACAACTGAACCACTGTCTTGCCCAAAGCTCACAGCAATTCTCGGTTTAGCCCCATCAGGGCAGCAAGATCCTGGCCCAGAAGTGACAACTGGAAATTCATCAAAAACAGGGGAAACAGGGAAAGCAAGTGAAATTAGTGCAGGGGTGCAAATGACAAGTAGTCCTGACGGCCACTGAAAGAATGGAAAAAGCTTTTAAAAATACCATAAATTTTAAAATAACATAAGCCTTTGATAATTTAAAATAAAGGAAACCGTTAATAATAATAATTGGAAATAACTTTTAACTTAATGAAGTTAAATAGTTTAATGACAAAATTTAGTAACTTGAAATTTAAAAGTAACGGAAGGCTTTCATAATAATTGAACATTTAGTAACTTAAAAATAGTGGAAGCTTCAACAATTTGGAACGGCCTTCATAATAATTATGGCAATAATAATCAGATGTGCGAAATTCTTTACAGTCTTTCGGGGCCCAGGAGAACGGTGCAATCCTAGGGACTGCGAAGGGGGAAGGGGAGGCCGAGCAGAAGTCACGTGGGTGGCCGCCTGGAATCCCGGGACCGGAGAGTCCATTAAGAATGAAGCCGACTCACACGCTCACACCCCCGGCGGGAGGAGGGGAGGGGAGGGGAGGGGAGGGGCGGAGGGAAGGGAGGAGGGGGAACAGGCTCAGCTGACGCGCGCTGAGCGCCGGGAGCCGGGAGGAGGCGGTGGGCGGGGCGACCTCCGGGGCGGGTGAATGAGACGCGGCAACGATCCGCACATTCCAGCGTGCCCACGTGACCAGGCCTCGCGGCCTGAGGTAAACAAGCTCTGGGCGGAGGGAGGGGGCGGGGAGCCCGCCTCCCCGGTCCCTTCACACACTCTCCCCGGCCTCCGGGATTCACTCCAACGGGGCGGGCGGCTTCCTCAGGGAGTCCTCCGGCTCCCGGAGCGGCGGCCGGCGCGTAGAGGGGAAGGCCGAGACGCTGGGGCCGCCGCAGTCGCCGCTGCCGCCGCAGCCCCCGTGACCCGCGCTCCCCCACCCCCGCCGCCCGCCCTGTGGCGCAGCAGGAATTGGCGGGCCCGGCCCGGGCGCTATTTGCGGCCGCTGACGAGCGGCGGGCGGCCGGCCCGGGATGGTGGTTGGGTCATTTCTATTCTAGTGGCGGCGGCTCACCCGCCTGGGCCGCGGCCCCCTGGAGCCCGGAGGGCGTGTCCCCCCGCCGGGGGCTCGCCGCGCCTATAAGGGGCCGGAGCGGCCGCGGCGCGGACATGCAGCTCTACAGCCCGGGCTTCAGCCACTACCCCTCGGGGGGACCCGCCGCCGCCCCCTCTCCGCCCTCCGCGGCCGCCGCCCCCTTCAAGGTCTCCTTGCAGGCTCCGGACGCCGCCGCCGAGGCCGCCGGCGCTGACTGCCTTCCCGCCGCCCCTCCGGCCCCCGAGTCCCGAGAGGCCGCCGCCGCCGCGATGCCCGCCTTCTCCTCGTGCTTCGAGATGGTGCCGCCGGGCGCCGCCGCCCCTGCAGCCACCGCGGCCGGCGGGTCGTGCAAGCCGCCGCTGCCCCCGCCGCCCCCGCCGCCGCCGCCGCACTACACGTCCACGGCGCAGATGAGCGTGCGCTGCCTGGGCCCCGAGCGCCGGCCGCCCGAGCCTCCGCGCCGCTGCTCCTCGTCCGCCTGGCTCTTGGAGGAGCTGCTCAAGCCGGGCCCCGAGGCCGGCCCCCGCCCGGACGGGCCCGAGCGAAACTTCCGTCTGAGCGAGCACCAGCAGGCCCTGGCCGCCGCCAGGCCCCGCGCCGCCGCCGCCGCCGCCGAGCCCCGCGAGGGCAGCCCCCGGCGCTGGGAGGCGGCCGCGGCCG